CAAAGCTGTACTGAAGTTGCCATTATAAAACTATACCCTAAGACTCAGGGAGGACAGTGTTTCACACGTACAGCATTAGCAAAGCCCATGTGCTGATGAGCTTTTGCATACTTACAGGCTGTCCAGGGAGGTTGCGGAATCTCCTTCTTTGGAGATATTCAAAGCCCACCTGGATGATGTCCTGTGCAACCTGTTCTGGGTCAACCTGCTTTAGCAGGGGGGTTGGACTGGATGATCTCCGGAGGTCCCTTCCAACCCTTGCCGTTCTGTGATTCTGTGACACCTGATAAACTTTACTTGGCATGGTAGAATCAGGTTTATTTACACTTTCTAACATCCTATGTCTCATAAGAAATATCAGCAGCTATCAAAGACTGTCACTGAGTGGAGGAACAGTTACGAATAAGATAGTTTATTGAAGCTGATGATTTAATTCCTTCCTGACCTTTGTCTTCTAGTTTTCTGGAAAAATTATACAAAGATGTGAAAATGTTCACTAGGGCCCTTTGCAGTGGCTGGCAGTCATGACCATGCATCCAGCAAAACGAGGCAACAGAAATGCCAAAGTGGAAGCTTTGGGAGTAAGGGGAGAGCATTCTGGGTCATGGAGAAATGCTGGGATGCCAGGGTATTATTTCTTACTGACTTGCAGCTCTGCCCAGAGCTGGAGCCTCCTGGGCATTCAAATGTTGGAGATTTTTTGAGGCCCTCATGGGTTGCTTCCTTTTCTTGTTTCACAGGATTTCTCAACTCTATTCACTGAAAAACATGTGCATCCATTTTGGGTACATTCCCTTTGGGTGTTGGTGTCCTGTGACAAAACCATTTCTAGTGAAACCTCTAACCAATATGAATAGAGGGGGAAATGTCATGCACTGATTCTTGGGATGCAGAGACAGCAGGGCATGAAGGGATTCACAGGTTGCTTATTTGTTTTAGGGGTCTTGGAAAACTGCACATTTCACTGTTGACAAAGCCTCTGTCTTTACCAGTCCCCTGGCCTCTTTTTACTGTGCCAGCCTTTCAAATAGCTATCATGTTGCTGTATCCTATTAAGGTGTTTTTAAATGAAAAATAAAAATAATGCTTTCATTTTCCTTGCTGAGTAACACCATTCTTATATAAAAAGAGGAGAACGCTGTGTAAGCCCATGCAGTTTTCCTGCTTTCCTCATACCTCGGGTTTCCACTGAACATCCGTACCAACAGTCACACAAGTTCCTTCAAAAAACATTGTCCATCCTGCAGAAACTTATCGTGTAAGAACTTTGCAGAAAGATCCCTCTGATGTCACAAGTCAATGCTGATATTTTGTTTTCCTTCTTTGCCTGTTCCTTGTGTTTGGCCTGTTTCGGCTTTTAAATGTTGATTGCAGTAATACTGATGCAATTCAAAAGGGAATCTGTAATTTGCACTGTCAGGCTGAATTGTTGCAGATTTTCTTTTAAAAGCCTTAAAATAGATTGGCGCTACCAGTTACTGAGCTTGAAGCATCCCTCTTAAAGCATTAATGGTTTTGTTCAGGTGCTACGTTCGATTGTGTAGAATCAGTCTCAAAGTTTATCAAGAGCATTAAATGGAATTGTGTTTTAATTATTACACTTCTTGTGAACAACATTACAACGCAACCATCAGCTTGAAGCTTTTTTCTGGAAGAGGCCATACAGTCGGACAGTCATTAAAATGTGCACCATAAGAACATGTCTAATTAGTATAAAAAGTCAACTGAAAAGAGAGCTGAGCTCAGATAAAAATTAGGTTCTGAAAAACTTACTGCAGTTACAATAAGCAAGCATTCACCATCATTTCTAAGTACTGTATTAAGAGATGAAAGGTTTCATGACATGTTTAATTTACTAAACATTGACGTCTGTTTCCCACCAGGGTTCTGTCGGAGTGCCTGGTGTTCCAGGGAGAGACGGACAAGTGGTGAGTCACTGAATTTGTCAGTACTGCCATTGCTTATGTAGCTGATTAAAGCTACTTAGGGATTGTTCACATGAGCAATATGCAACCTTACAGCCAGAGCTGTGTTTTCAAATTGGCTTCATGGAAGAGACCGTGCAATCTGGTTTGTGCTCTGAAGTAATTTTTCCTAGTTTTACTTGAACAGGCAGCAAATGTAATTAATTAAGCTGTGAGTCTAATGTTCAGATTTGATGATGACTGATAGGTTCCAGAGAGAAATGCGTATTAGGGGTTAGTAACTTTAGACAGAATAGTTATTACAAACTATCATTACAGACAGTATATATATTACAAACTAAGTTTTTCTGCAGATTTTTTTTTACTTTTTGTTAACTCAGTCCCTTGATACAAATGCTTACGTTGATATTGGGTATTTATACAGTGCTAATACATTGTTAATGTAACCTACAAATAGAGAATAAAAAGGGACTGGAAACACAGGTGGAGATTAATGTGAAATTGAAGTTGGGGACAACTTGTTCTTGAACACAACTGGAAGGAAATGCTAACTCAGGCAAGTCAGTGTAATCTTTCAGTGCCATCACCATAGCCAACTTGTCGTTAGAACAGCCCTTCATAAGGTGGGGTCGCAGTAAAGCAGCAGGGCTGTTTCACAGCATTGCTAAGGTTTGTTGGCAAATCTGGGTGGTGAAGTTTAAATAATATCACTCCCTGACTGTAAACAGTATTATCCATCTGTTGTTCTCACAAGCACTAACATTCCTAGTGAACTTCAAAAGCACTTGCAGGGAATACCAAAAGGAAAATGTATGATATAGGTTGTTCACTGCATTTAAGCAGCAATAGATGGTAGGGTATAAAGATCATATTATACAATCCATTCTTCTGCCTCCTTCCCCAAAAGCCCTAGGAATAAAAATGCTAAGATGTTTCAGATAATTTAATTTTACTTCCTCTTTCCTAACAAAAAGGATGTATTGTTTCTAATAGCATAATATACCATATTAGACCTATGTTTTGACAGTGGTTATAAGAAATGATGTAATAATCAGTTATTTCGCTTTAGCGATACTGATAGTGCTAGGAACCTATTTTTAAAATACTCAGAGTATTACGACTACTGTGGAACAACAATAGAAAAGATATTTAGAATTAGTTATAGATAGCACACAAGAAATGATAAGAAAATATTATGAAGCAAATTTGCATTAAGACCTGAGATTTTTTTCCTTCATGTTTTATAGCTGCATTCAGCGGCAACGTGAATAGTAGACAGTACTTGGCAACACAGACACTGTTGCTGTACGTAATTCAAGTGATTTCTGTGACCAAAGTATGAGTGAAAAGCCAGTGAAGGCACACTTTGTTGCATGATTTTCTTTAGATCTGCAGGAAGACGTAAGAAGACTGGACAGGGTCAAGTTGCAAACCACATTGAATAGAAATGATGATTCATATTTTATCCAAGAGCGTTACTTTTATTAGCATCATCGTACAAACTCTAGCCAGCAATCTTCACTCAAATAAGCACAAAAAATGGATGTCGATGAAATAAGTCAGATGTGCAAAACTTGTCTGATCATTAAAGTGTCATTTGGGGAGATGTGGAATTTTTTTTAAGCCGTATTGGCAAAGTTGTTGTATGTCTATTTTTAGGAGGCCACATAGACTTACCTGCAGTCATGTTTCGTGGGGAAGAAAAGAAATATGCAATTGCCTTTGATTAAGGAAAAATGCAAAAACATTTTTAATGCTGTTCATCAACATTAAAATGTGCTTTAAAAACAGATCCTAATGTTTTCAATTTATGGTTTTATGTTTATTTGATTTATTTCAATATTTATGGCATCTAAAACTTTGAAGACATTCCTAAATTATTGCCACTTTAATAAAGATGTCAGCATATTTTTAGTGTAGCTGGACTATTTTACTTTTGACCTCTAAGAAAAAAATTAATTAATTACTAAACTAAAGTCTAGGTACCAAGACAAAAACCATACAGAAAAAAATGAAATGTGGTCACATTCTTTTGCTTGTTTTCACAATTGCTGGTTGATACTGACTGGCAAGCACTTCCTTATGAGCAGAAAGTATATTATTTTCATATAATACTAAGCAGATGAAAGTTGAATGTTGATATCCCTTTTAATAAATAGATAACAAATTCTGTTTGCTTGGAAATAGTGATAAAGTTGAACTGAAGCAGCTTTTATGTAAAGCTAGAATGTATTGTGCAACCTAGGACTCCCATACTAATATTTTGCTACCAAAAGGTCCATTCTTCCAATTTCTATGGAAAAAACAGATTCTCAGCACAGTGTGACACAGAAGATATTGAAGACCAGAGTAGTAATTTTAAGAGTTGGGCTGTACTATGAGCTGGCTGCTGGCACTCCTGGCTTTGTTCATACAGATTCATGTTGATTTGCAGAATAGTTGAACTCGACTTGAATGTGCGATGCAAGTCATCCCCTTTTGAGAAGTTACGTAGTTAAAAGGCTTTATAAAAGCCTTACTGTCTGGGTAGCCTTTTAATCAATGAGCTCGCTCTGTCAAACAGCAGCATGTGCAGTGCACTAAGTTCCAAGTTAATATTTGTTCTTAGTTTAAAAGGCAGTGAGTGTTAAGCGCTTGCTTAAAATTAAGCGTGTGTGTGAATGCTTTCTTCATCTGGATGATGAAATGTCTTTCAGCCGATGAATGTCAGCAGTGAATTAGCTTTGCTCTCCCCTTAAGTGGTTGAATAATACAGAGTTAGGTCATCTCCATCTTATATGTGTCTCTGTAATTTTCCTTTTCCTTTCCCTTCACCTCTTCTTTAATTGAAATAGTGGGTTATGGGAGACGATTGACAAGTCTGACCAATAGGTCTGGGAATGAGATCATAAATTCTGAGTGCACTTAGAACAATTTTCTAATCCCTTAACATATGAACCACTTCTCTTAGACAATCTCTGGATATTAGAGTAAGTGTAATTTTACACAACCCACATGTTTTTCCAGGACTGTTAACTAGTAGATTTTTCTTGTCTTAAGAGTAGCAGCAAAATCATTCCCACATTTTTTTCTTTTAGGCCAAATCCAATGAAACATTACAGGTAGTCTTGCAAGGGCATTTACATTCTGTGTTCCTACATTTGGGAAACTGTAGCCACACTCTGCTTATCTTGTTGAGAACAGTAACTGGAAAGGTGCTGCCTAATAATACCTGCACCTAGAGAGAGTGTTGTTCTTCGATAGACAGAAGCCTTCTGAGATAGCGAGGAGAGTCTTTCTGAATGCTCCCTTTCCTTTGCAGATTGTTGTGCAAGTTGCCTGTAGCAGTTTGCTTCCTAGCAAGATGCTATGGGAGATAACTTTCCCTTTCTTCATCCCTGGCCAGAGGTCCTCAGGCACTCAAATAGTACAAAAAAGGATTACACCTGCATGGATATATGAAGTTGCAGTGATCTAGGGATATCAGATCCCTACATTAATCATGTTGAAATGGCCATAAAGGGGTTCTTGGAAAGTTCAGCTATGCAAGTATAGAATACGTATTCTGGTATTTGTTAAGTGGTAGTGATTTGATAAGGACTCCCAGTGACGACAGCAACAACACAAGGAGAAAAGGGGAGGTTCCTTAAGTAAGGATTGCATTTGGCCTGAAGGCACCCGGTTTCTGGAATCTGTGCAACTTACTCTCTTTGTTTTAAACAGGATTTTGTCTGGAGTGTGTAAAGTCCTCACTCTATAATTCCATGGAACAATTTTTCTTCTGTAGTACTTGGTATTTTTCGGGGTTTTTGTAAGAGTATATTGAGAACAGAATGTGTGATCAGGATAGATCCCTTCATTTCAAATTATTTCAATAGTTTGACAATAGCAATTTGATAAACCTCAGAGGAATTTCCTTCTTATCAGTAGACTTAGCATCTGGATGCACACATTTCTTACTGCTTTCTTCATGCTTCTTAGTACTCTAATTTTACATGTATTTCCCCATCAGTGTGTACTGTACTATGTAGAGACACATTTTGAAAGTAGCATTATCACATTTCTTTGGAGAAACGAGGAAGGGTATGTGTGTACTAACGTTTTTTCAAATAAAGAAGTATAAAGGAAGGAAACGTTAAATGTAGTTCGCAAATTCTCAGACAGGTTTGCAGGCCAGCTGAGTCTTGTTGAAGAGTCTTTCCACTTAATTTCAGCTGGTGAGTGGGCCAGGAGAGATTTCCAGTCCTTAAACAAACAATTGTAAGTTATTTCTGAGGAGGGTGAAAAGCAAGTTGAAAGGAGGTAATTCAACCCTGGCTTGAAATGGAAATCACAGTAACATGTCTATGAAAACACTTTTTTCCCTTCTGTCCTCGTTTATGTATTTTAGAGTAAAACTAGACTGGATTGGAGTTGGGGGCCTCTTTTATTTCCTTATCCGTACAATTGATTACATTCTAGTGACTGCAAAATATAGCAATACTGACAGCCTTTCTTCTCAGGGCGAGGTGGATATCAACCACCTGGTACGGAGAATTACACATCTCACCAAAACCAAACCTATTTCAGAACAGCAACCTCCAGGCTGTATTTCTGTTACAAACAAGAGAAGCTGGGGCCTCCAGCCACGTTCTTTTTAGCTGATTAATTCTGGATATGAAGGTATATGCCTCCAGGGCACAGAGCACTCTCGTAAGGAGAAGCATGCTTTCAACTGCCTTGACTCCTTTGATATGGACTCCAGTGGGTGATACATTTTCAGACCTGTTCTGAAGTAGGTTTTATGAATTTCTATTGACAGGTTTTTTTCATATTAGCAGCAGAGCCCAAGCAGTGCTCTACACATCTGAGTGCTCATCAACTTAAGATTCACTTCCGTGTAAGCATTAAGACTGCCCCTACCATGAGAGTATCTGAGGAAATTACTACACCTATTTGTTGAGCAGGGTGCTGAAGGATGTTCTTTGCCCAAATTCAGGAAAGACAGAGACAGACCATCAATGTTAATACAGTTATATAGTTAA